AAATTTCAATGACAACCTCACTGAAGTCTAACTCTATAGAGAAAAGTGCACAAATCATAAATGTAGAGCTCGGTAAATTTTCTTTCACAAAATGACCAACACGCTTGGGTGACCAGCATCCCCATCAAGAGGCGGAACATGAACAACATTGCAGAGGCTGCCCAACCACGCCCCGGCCATTGCCTGCCCCGCAACGGCAAGACCAAACGTACATTGGACTTGACTTCAAATCTGGTGGAAATAAAACCTTACCACTTTGCCCTCCTTTGCGCCTTTCCTCTTAGTGAGTGTGAGTAGCAATACGACCACTTCATTCACAATATACATTCAAGGGTTATCACAGGCCCAGCGTCACACCAGATATCGTCGGGGACAAAAGAAAAATGAAAAACACACTCCCTGATCTTGCTGGAAAAGATTCCTCTGTACCTATAGTGTTGTATACAAACTCAGCATTTGTTTACATTGTTTCATAAGAACCTAGAATTAATTTATTCGTGTTTGCTAAAATCTGAACATCCGTGTCCCAACTCCCCTCAAAATTCATCTGTTGCAACTTAGCCCACAAGGAGATGCTACCAGGAGGCAGGACTTTGGGAGGTGATCAGGTCATGAGGATGGACCCTCATAAAGGGAATCTATGCCCTTACAGAAGTGGTCCTAAAGAGTTCCCTTGCCCCTTCCCCTGGGTGAGGATAGAGCAAAGTCTACGAATGGGCTCTCACCAGACACCGAATCTGCTGGAGCCTTGGTTTTTGGACTTCCCAGACTCTAGAACTGTGAGAAGCCCATTTTTTGTTGCTTATAAGCTGCCCCATCTGTATTTTGTTACACAGCCTAAACAGACTAAGATGGCATTCCATGGAAGTCCACTCTAATGGAAGGAGGGTAGGATTGTCTAGTTTGGTGGGAAGTGGCGGTGAGGACCTGGGGGATGTGGAGAGAAGAGGCACGGGGACCTCTGCCGAGGGTCCAAGCAACTTGGCTAAAGCCTTGGACTACATGTTAGCTGCAAGGGGACAGCACCCGGGTGACCCCGGGGACCTCCGAGACACATTCAAGAAGATTCACTTCAAGAATACAACAAAGTAAGCACCGTGCGGGGAGAAAAATCAGACACGAAAACCAAAGCTTTCTGAAAACAGGAACTCCAACTCCTGCTAAGTGACAGGTGTCAGGGGGTCTGAGCAGTGGGAAAGAGCGGTTCTCCCTGCTCACTCTTTATTACTGAGGTTAGTCAAAAACAGCGCTTCTTCTGAAGGGACCCAGGATTAGGTGAGTGGAGGCCTATGCAGATCAGTGTGAAACTGGGGGGTGGGGAAGGAACCAAGGGGCCTGGCTGCCATTCACTAGTAGATTCTGAAGCAGTGAGAAAGGGAAGATGCCCATACACACACATGCACGCACGCGCACATCATTCTGCTGCTCTCTGCCCTTTCTCCTCTCTCGAGCTGCCACCAAGCTTCGAAAGCGGGGCTGACAGCAGTGAGGGAGGTCCCCGTTGAGGCTGCCAGACCATGAGTGGGCAGTGTAGTGAGACTGAGTCCCTTGCATCCCCCAAAGGACCACACCCGGGTGAGGGTGAGGGACTGTCTACGAAGGCAGGATGAAGGGTCCAGAGTGTGTGTTTTGGAAAAGCAGAGACAAACTATGAATTGAAGCCAGCTGGAGGCATGCGAGGTGAGGGATGACAGAGTGCTTCTGCCCTCTGCCTCCTCCCACTTAGCAGAGATCCTGGGCCCTTTTTTTTGTTCCACGGATTCCTTTAGCTCTCCAGAGGAGCCCTCTGGACACCTCCTCAGAATGTTTGCAAATCAAAGACATTGGACTACAGAGGAACATCTAATAAAATCAGCTTGTGAAATGGCTCTATGTGTGCCTCTTCATCCATCCGTTGACTAACAGGATCTGGCAGGAGATTTAATAAGCACCATGATTTAGAACTGGCGATGAACATAAATGATCCTGTGGAGTATCTACAATAGCTGTAGTTGCCTCGAAACTACCTGTGATTTCCCTGGGGGACCAAGGCACAGATATTGCTAACACTCCTGTGCTGTGTGGTTGATATTCCTCCTATCCAAGGTCATGAACCTCTTAAATTCCATCTACAGACCCCATAGGGAGGTCTTTGGACCTCAGGTTATGAACCCCCAGGGGAACTTCCAAGTTCTTCTCAAAATCACTACAAACTTCAACTTCATCCAACCATATGAGGCCTGCATATCCAAGGAATTTTTCCAAGAACCACAACCAGTTATTTTCAGAGACATGGGCGGTCCCTCCGCATCCTACAGACATGCGGTTCTCAGTGTAAGGGAGTCTGGAACCCCTTTCTGCAGCCCTGTGCCCTCCCTTCCAGGAACATCTTCAGAAAGCCTTCCCTGACTCCTCCCCTTGTTGTCAACACACGTCACTTCCATCACCCTGCTGTCACCTGCCACCCCTAACACCACCTCCTTTACTTGTTTGGAAATGACAACTGTGTTCTCTCCTCCGTTCACTCAATCTGGGTCAGTGGCTGAATCAGTCTGAGAACAATGGCAGCCCAACCAACCTTGTGAGATCTCCCCTGCGCCACATCTGTGCCCACTGATTTAGCCCGTGTTGCCCAAATCCTTGTCACTCGGGGAACTAGATGAGGGAATGTGAAGGAAGGGATCTCATGTATCAAGAAAGGCTTACTGTGGCCCTACTGGGCTAGCACGGGGTTACAAAGGCCTGGTGCGTGCACTCCCATTGGGAGAAACGACTCCAGCAACAATCCCAAGTGGGCACAGGGATACCTTTACTAGTCAACAGTTTCTTATTAGACACCTGCTAGGTTCCAGACACGGAGGCGGTACTGGGAATAAATAACACACAAATAAGTGGACACCAAAGATCACATCCAGTTATAACAAGTACTATGAAAGAATTGTAAGAACAATTGGGAAGAAAATAATAGAGGAGGAGGTACTTTGTTACATGTGGTGGGAGACAAAATTCTCTGGAGAAGGGGAAATTTAAACAGAAAGAGGCCTCAAGGATGAGAAGGAGCCATCAGTATGAAAAGCCGGAGGAAAATGGCCATGGGGGCTGGGGGGTCTTTAGGAAGGATCGTAAATACAGGGAGGGTGAGATTTCAGATGATTGGGAGAAGGGGCATGAGCTTGGCTGGAGAGGTAGACACCTGCCAGATCAAGCACATGAGGGGGAATGGAGTGGCTATTAGCATGGATTCCAGAAGCAGACCAGCTTGGCTAGAATCCATCCAGCTCTAAAACTTCTCTAACTGTGTGGCCTTGGGCAAGTCACTTGCCCTCTCTGAGCCTTAGCTTCCTCATCTTTAAGTAGGGATCAGCATATATGTCCTTCACTCACTTGCTAAGTGCATTAAGAATAAAGCACTTAGAAAGGTGGCTGACACAGGGTGCATGCCGCATGGCGGTTTGCTATGACTGGTTCCAAGCTCAGTGAGAAGTTGGGGGGTGGGGGGGGCATTGAGCCCAAGAGAGACACTACCTGGGTTGTCTTTAACAGATTCTTGGCCCTTGTGTGAGCTACTGGAAGGGATCCCAGAGGTCATTTACACCAACACCTTCCCCAGCGCTTCTCTCTGGGAAGGGGAGGGGACAGCCCCTGAAGAGCCACCTCTGAGAAAGGCACAATGGCCTTCCCCTAAAGCCTGAGGAGCAATCTCTGTGAAGGGCACAATGGCCTTCCCCTCACGCTGGGTGGGAGAGAAGGTTGAGAGGCAGCGGGCCACAACTTCTGAAGGACTCACCCACCCCCTCAACCTCCTGCCGGTGGAGAGCCCACCACTCCCACCTCAGATGGTTCTAGAAGGGTCCCGTGTCCCGATGCCTAGCTGGCTCCTATTCCTGCCAGTGTCAATGTCACTTTCCTGGGATTGTAAGTGCCTCAAGGACAGTAGCCATTTCCTTCCCCTCTCACTACCCGGTGACTGACAGAGGCCCCAAGCACTGAGTCTCAGAGCTTTTGAATAATTGATTGGAAAAAGGAAGGTGGAATCACAGCACTTTTGTGCCTTTCTCAGACCTATAAGCTCTATAAGGAATCTAGAGGGCCTTGGGAAGTCATTAAGTCATGCCCCTGCCCCAGGGCCAGGCTTCCTCCAGCACCCTAGCAAGACTCTTCCTCCTGGTCTCCAGAGCACATTTTACACTCCCCACCTCGGTAATGTGTCCTGAAGGGCACAGCCTATGTAGGGGGCTCCTTCCAAACCTCTTCCCTAGACCCCTTCTGCCTCACTGTACAATGGGGACACCACCCATTTCCTGCCCCACGGGGCTCTGGGCACAAGCCCATGCAGGCAGGGGATAAAAGCCCTCCAGTCTCCAGGGACATCAGAGAGACCACAGCAAGCCCCTCCGGCTGGCTGGATCTGAGGGCTGCTGGGAGGGGGCGAAGGTCCTTCAGGCCCCTCCACATTCAACAGCCTCTCCCCAGACCCCAGGCACTCCCCGCCCAGCTGCCCCTCTCCCGCTCCCAGGGATGCAGCAACCACCTCCCCTCTCATTTTTCCGTGGCTTGCCCCCTCCTCAGCTAAGCCAGTGCTTTCCCTACACCAGACCCCCCAACTTCTCTTCCCTCTCCCGTCCCCATTTCTCTTCCCCCAATTCTGCAAGCTTTTAACCCTCCAACCCCCCTCCCCCGGTTTCCTCCCAGCCGCTCAACTCTCCTCCCAGCCCCTATTCGTCTCCAAGTCCCCTTTCCCATTCCGTCCCTTCCCCTCCCCTTTAGCGCTCGCTGACCCCATTCCTCTCGCGCCCCCGCCAAGCCTCCCTCCCCTAACTCTTCTCCCCGACACTCCCCCCACCCTCAGGCCTTCCGGACCCCCTCTGCGGGTCCTCGAGCACGTCCTCCGCCCTCCTCCCCGCCGCGCTCGGTGGCGCAAAGCACGGCGACCTCTCCCCCTCATCCGGTTTCCCCGCCGCTGCAGCCGCCCCCGAGACCCCACCGCGCCCCGGGGAGGCCGAGGCGCCACCCCCGCTCACCTGTTGGGCGGACCGGAGCACGCCGGGTCTCGCCTTCTCTGGATCGGGGTCCCGGTCCCGCTGCAGCACCCCCTTCTTGGGATGCATGTGCCGGCACAGACAGGTGACCCCGCACAGCGCGAGGATGCTGGTGGCCGTGCCCAGCGTGGCGCCCAGCGCGATCACTGGCACCGACAGCACCATGGTGCCCGCTCCCCGCGCGGGGCTCGGGCTCGCCGCCGCGCACCTACCCCGGTCGGGCCCGCCGCCCGCCGCCCGCCGCCCGGCAGCTCCTGAGATCCGGGCGCGCCGGCTGCTCTCCCGCCGCCTGGGGTTGGGGGGTGGGGGGGAGGCGGGGAGGGAGGGCGGCTTCGAGGACGTCAGAGGAGGAGGCTGGCCGGGAGCGGGCGGGTGCGCCCGCACTCAGTTCCACGTCAGCCCGCACCCCCTCCCGCCGACACGTGACCAGACCCCCACCCCAACAGCAGCCCAGCCTTCAGATGCCCGCAAGATTAGGGGTGTCTCGGGTCGTTTTTCACGCTTTCTGTACGCGGACACTTGGCCCCAAGAAGGGCAGGAGCTCGCCCAGGTCGCGCTGTGTGAGCGGGCAAACCCGGGCTCCAGCCCAGGCCTGCGGCTCAGTCTGGGTAGGGGTCACTTTACCAGACTACTAACCCTTCCTTTCTCACCTTCTCTGGCCCGGGAGGCTGTACCCTTGGGTCCTCCGGGAGATTTTCAAACACCCAAGGGCTGGAGAGTTCCCATCTCCCGAACTCGCCGGGTGTTTGCTATGCTGTGGGGCAGAGCGCGCAGGAGGAAGGCGGGCAGAAGGGAATTGCCTGGGGTTGAGACTGTGCGCATGTCCTGGTGAAGATCACCGCACCCATTCTGTTTCTGTCGCATGTCCTTCAGCATGCTTTCCCTCCTCATTTGATCTGTGGGTCTCCATTTGCAAATGAGGAAGGTGCGGCCGGTAGGGGATGTGGGAAAGCTGGAAAACTCCAGGCATCCTCAACCCAGACTCAGGTTGGCAGATTCTGAGTCCCTGCGCCACACTCAGAGAAAGAACTTGTCTTAGAAGAACAAAGAGCCTCACGTGCAGCAGCCAGGAGTCCACACTTGATTCAGAGAGGGGGAAATAAAAGAAGTATGCTTAGAGTAAGGCGAAATTAGAATTCCAGCCATGAGGAGAAGGCCTTAGATCAGAACACAGTGGTTTGCAGTGTGCTGTGTTATGGGGAGTGTTTCACTGAATTCAGCAAGCATTCGCGGTGTCTGCTGTGCTCTAGGCGTGCTGGCCACGTGTGAGGAGTGCAGAGAATTTCTACACAACAGGGCTTCAGAATTCCCATGAAGCCAACAGCTCCTAAATCTAGCATGGCTCCCGCCAGACCTTCAGCGCTGAGCTGCAGAAGTGACGGCCCCCTGGAACCTTATCTAACCGAATGACAAACCACCCATGACTTAGAGGCTGAGAACAATCATTTTGTTACCTTTCATGATTTTGTGGGTTGACCAGGCTCCACTGGGCGTTTTTCCTGCTGCAAGTGATGTCTCTCCAGGGACTGCGCTCAGCTGGGCTGGGATGTGCAAGATGGCGCACCACACGGTGGGCAGCGGGTACTGGCTGCCCCTGGGGGCACAGCTGGCTCTCAGCCAGTGCACTGGGGTTCTCCCCCATGTGGCTGGAGCTGCATGGCAGCCAGGTTCCAAGAGGATGGAAGCAGTTCTCTTAGGTCCTGGCTTCAGAAGTTCTAGAACATCATTTCTTTGGTCAAGCAATTGTCTCTCTCTAATCCTTTCCCTACAGGGCATTAAAAAGGATGTTTCTGAAATGCAAAGCTCATCTTATCATTCACATGCATAAAAGCCTTCAAAGTGTCACCAATAATAAACGCAAGAGCCTCCAGTTAAATCGAAAGCCCTTTGTGATGTGGTCCCTGCTGGTCCCTTCAGACTCCCCTCTACACACTTCCCAGCATGCCCTTGAGCCCCCAAGGAACTTGGGATTCATTCAGCAAGCTACTGTCTTTAGAGCCTTCACACCATCACCCATGGGTGCATACGGGAGGTACTCAGGAATCACTGAAAGGGTGAATGACTCACATGATCATCTCATGCAGGACTTCCAGTGGTTTGGAAGGAATCCCATTTGCTAAATGAGCTCCGTTTGATTAAACCGACTCTTCCACAAATATTTATTTTGTGCCTGCTGTATGCTAGGCACATTTTCCTACTGAGCTCCATTTGCTGAATGCAATGCCTCTGTCCCTGGTGGTAAACTTAGCATTCTCTCTCATAAGAGCTTCCCTTGGAGGTTTTTTGGCTCCTGGGCCTGGTAAATGCAAAATGTTCCAGGGAAATGAGAGGTTTAATTAATGCTGTCAGTCCGGATCTCCCATGCCTGAGCTGCTCCCCTGGGAAACCCTTAACACCACCTAGCAGGATCTGGGGTGGGGGTGAAGGGAAGGATGAGCGCTTAATTCTAGACATTGTCTGATGGAGATCATACACCTGTCATGTGGTTCATTGTTACTATGGTTACTGGGATGACAGCAGCTGCAGTGACCTTCATTTTTAATGGGAAGAGGGACCCCAGCCCGAGACGAACTGCTTGTCCTATGCCTTTTTCACACACAGTGAACCGATGGCAGGGCTAGGATACACCTCAGGAGATTTGAAACCCAATTATCAGAACTCTGCATCCCCCTTGCTACATCTCATCAAAGATGCGACTCTGGCTTCTTGGTTACTGATATCCAGGCGGTAGTAGCCTTTAATGACAACTTTCTGAGAAAAGGCATTAGTGGATTCCTTTGAAAAATGGGACCATCTCTACTGAGAAAGGCAGATGACAGAGTCAGCCAAGTGGAACAGTTGGGACAGTCTAAGGAGGAGGCCTGCAAATCATTAGAAATGCTGGAGCCCCCAGACTGCCAAGAACAAAGCAAGGTGCTTGGGGGAGCTTCTGGAAGGCTGAGGGGTAGATCTCAGAAGGTTCCCTAGCCTCTGGATAAAATGTCACCATTGTTACTTTGATCGATATTTTACTCGTTGGATGATTAAATATTCTGAGCAACCACCTTGAATTTCTAAGGTATTAAAATGTTTTTATCCGGGGGAAAGGACTTCAAGTATAGGAGGTTCTCTTATCTGCACACATTTATCGTGCCTGCATATAGTGCTAGGCAGGAGGGAGGAAAATAAACAAGCAGAACAACCAAATTTTAACATTGGAAGGATATCAGATGTCATCTTGTGGGATCCTTTCATTTGACCAATAGGGAAACTGAGGCCCAGAGAGCTTGTGGCTTGCCAAAGGGCAGAAGGAGTTAATGAGAGCACTGAGGTCTTTTAGGTCAGGGTAGATGCAGTCCTACTGTAGTAAGAAGTAACCCCCAAACCTCAGGGATTAATACAATAAAAGTACACCTTGCTCCTATCATAGTTCAAGGAGGGTCAGGTGACTCAAGTGGGCAGCTCATCTCCAATCAGTCACTCAGGAATCTGGGCTTTTGCTTCCTGCTGCCATGCAGATGGAGAAAAGAGAGAGCACTAAAGACCACTTGGGCCATTTAGGAGGCCATGGCAGGAAATAGTCTATGGTTCTCACCCCATTGCACTGGCCAGGATTTGGTGACATGACAGAGCTAACAACAGAAGAGACTGGGTAGAAAGGAAACATGAGTAATAGCAGTGTCTGCCGTAGATGCCAGAGCTTTAGATTTCAGTCTGGTGCTTATTTCTCTGACCTTCTCATTAATCCAACAGATGTTTTGAGTTTCTACCATGTACCAGGCACTGTGCTGGCTGATGAGGCAACGATAGTGAGGAATATCATTTATCACAGAAGGACAGGCTCGAGATTGGGATTTGATTTGTTCTCAGACACCAAGGAAGCCTTCCCAGAGGAAGTATCAACTGGCTTGCGGTCTAAAAGAGTAAAGTTAACTCAGCAAAGAAGGAGTGTTCCAGGCAGAGAAGCAGGGTGTACAAGGACCCCGTGGTGGAACCACACAGTGGGCATGGGGCCGCAGCATGCTGGTCAACCAGCTCTCTGGGGGCAGATTTGATGTTCAGCATTCGTTGATTTCTGTGGTGCAAATAATCTCACTACAGTGAGTTTCCAGGTACCACCACATTCCTGAATATTGCCCAGTTGGCTCTGGGAGTGGTAGGAGCCAGCTCCAGGGCACACCTGGGAGAAACTCTGAGAGACGAGCCTGAAGGCAGAGGTAGGGGCGAGACATCAGGGCTGGTAGACCATACTGGAAGGCCATTGGGTGTTTTTAGGCAGAGGAGCATGATATGATCAGATCTGTCTTTTGAAAAGATCCTTCCCGCTGCAGTATTGAGAACCGATTGGAGAGGGACCAAGGGGATGCAGGTTGGCCAGAGAAGTTGCCAGAGCAGGCATCCAGGAGAGGGATGCTAAGCTTCTCTAGGACGTGTGTCATCATAGGATGGGCTAAAGTTGTTGACAGCGTGAGGAGAGGGCAGAATGGTGGGCAAGTCCCTTTTGCTGTTGGTCCCACTTTTTAGCTCTGTGTGGTTTACTCTCTCAATTTGATGGACTGTCGTTCTCCATGCTAGATCGCTGTTAACTGGAGGCTCCCCAGCAATAGGCCCTGTCGAAGGCGGGATGTGCAGGAGGAAGCTGGCTGGGAGAAAGGGGTGGAGACCCTGGGACCCGCCACGGGGTGATGCAGACCCCGCAGAGCTGGCTGGCAGCTGGGTGAGAAGGTGAGGAGCTCAGTCGAGGCTCAGGAGTGGGGCCCAATCTCAGGACCCTGCTCTGGCTCTGAAAAATTCTGGGGCCACATCTTAAGGCAGAAGGAGAAAGGAGTTGGGTCTGGGATCCCCTGATACAGAAATCCAAGTCTGTAAAAGGTAGAAAAATATTCTAGAGTTGGAGCAAATTGCAGTACGCTTACTGACCACTGCCAGTGACCACCTGCCCAACAGGTCATTTCCTACAACCCAACCTTGACACCATCTCAACATGAGATGAAGTGACACATTCCAATCCTCAGAGCTTCTCAATCCCACCTGATCTTTCTTGGACTTAGCCTAAAGTCTCCCTTTCTCTCCATGTTTCTAGAATATACAAAGTTTATGGGACTAAAGAGTTTTGCCTGTCTGGTTGGGAGGAAATAGAGCATGTATGTAGAGCTTAACTTCGTGGGGGCACATAGATCCCTCTGAGAATCTAATGAGAGCTATTTCCTTATTTTTTTTCTTTTCTT